ACTATTTGGTTAGCTCTTCTGCTACTAAAAACCTTCGCGAGGTGGTTGCTGCTGCCAACATATATCCCTGGTAGCTTTACTAGTTCATAACTCATTCTACCACAGATTCTCAAAGGCTAGATTTAGTAAAGTGTAACACACATGTGATACTAAGATAAGGGTAACCGGCTAGCCCATTTTGCCTTAGCACTGAAGTGCTAGGTTGCACATGTTTAGAAATTGATCAGACTTGAGTATACTGGGAGAGTTGGTCATTTAATGAATAAGACCTATCTAGAAAATAATCAGGCTTGAAAACTAGAGATGAAACTGCCAGCCCCAGTCAGCCTGTCCATGCCTTGCCTGCCTTATATAGGACCCACCAAGCAAGAACAGTGACGGCAGGTAAGGAAGACATGGACGGGCTGACTGGGGCTGGTGTTTTTTTATGCACTTGTTTCTTTCAGTTAAGTTTATTGGTAAAGTTTAGATAAAATAATGATCACAATTCAGCTGGCATTTTGGATTTCAAATTTTCAAGGTTATTTTCCCACTCAGTCTTATTTTCAGGAAAACACCAGTACAGGATATATACAGAGATTCTAAATATATATTGTGCTTCACTAAGTGAACTGTATTCATTTTCAAAAATGCTTTTACAAGGAACCTTGGTGCAAAAGAGAATAAATGCCAAAATAATTTAAAAAAAGAAATCGGTTGAGTTAGCTGTAACCAAATGACTGTTTCTTTTTTCCCAGTGCATGATATGCTGTAAAACATGAACACAATCTATGTCAAATTTTTTTATTAAGTATAAATATGAAATCTAGCAAAGCATAAATATTAACATTATTTTCTCATTTAATATAGTTTTCTTTTTTGCAATGCCAGGGATTGAACCCAGGGTCCTGTGCATGCTCAGCATAGTGCAGAGCTACGTCCCCAGCCTGAATCAGAATCTTTCTCTATCTCTTTACCCCTTCACCTCCCCATATAGGAGATTGAACTCAGGCCTTTGCACTAACCAGCCCTTTTAAAAAGTTTTATATTTTGAGACTAAGTTGTCCAGGCTAGGCTCAAACTCAGGATCCTCTTGCTCAGCCACACAATGTGCTGGGGTTATAGACATACACCACCACTCTAAGCTTCTCTATTTCATTTAAATAGACATCTTTTTCCTAGATATGAGCTCAGTGATCTATTTGTGCTATAATGTGACATCTGCTATCTGCTAGTAATTGAAAAGCTCATAGCCAAGAAGTTTTTGTTGTTTGCTTTTTTGTTGTTGCATTTTTAAGAGATTGGGTCTTACGGTATTGCTCAGGTTGGCCCCAAACTCCTGGGCTCAAATGAACCTCCTGTCTCCACTTATAGAGTAGCTGGGACTTCAGGCATGTCACCACTGCTAGCTTTCTATGAAGTTCTTTTTATTATTTTTGTGATTCCTAACCACTTCTTCCAAAATAATGGAGGAGATAATTTTTATAACTTAATACAACTGGGCCAGGGAGATAGCTCAGCATCTTAAGCACCTGTCATGTGCAAGGTCCTGAGTTTGATCCTGGGTATCCAAAAAAAAAAAAAAAAAGAATTTAATACAACAATTAGCCACATTGTGGTTTTGAGTTTTCAGGTTACTGCATAGTCCGTTTGCCCATGAAAGATTGAGAATCTTTCATGGATTTAGTTGATGTTCTTTAGTTTTCTTCAATTTGCTCTGTGTGGGCCTTTTCAAGTGGAAATGAAATTCAAGTTTAGTTGTTAACATGGTAAAATAATGTAGTGGTAAGAGAAGGACTTTTTCATTGCTGTATTATGATCAACTCTTGTCTGATCTGTAGACAGAGTATACCAATGGATAGCTCAAGGGGGAAAAAACCAAAATATATATATATATATATCCCCCCTCCCCTTGAAATAAAGGGAAGACTAGTTAGGAAAAGAATTCTAGTCAAAATCACAAAAAGGAAAATATTGCCTGCCTTACTCAAAAGAGAACTATAGATTTAATTTTGGGAAACTGGAAACCAGGGAGTAGTATACTGCACTGGTTTTAAGATGACATGTGGGACTGAGGATGTAACTCAGCAGCATATGTGCCTGCCTGGCAAGTACATGGTCCTGAGTTGGATACCTGATACAAAAAAAAAAAAAAAAAAAAAAAA